TCACCCTTTTTCAACGACCAATGTGTAGTATAATGGTATATTTCTTGTTAGACGAAGAATTTAAAAGTCGGTAGATAAAGAACGAATTTCAGTTTTCTACGATTTCACTTTAACGAAGAGTAAGAAGGAAAATTTGCAAATAATGTAAATTGAATTTTGTTTGAAAGAGTTTTCTTCTACGGAAGAGCGAAATTTGTCTAATTTTTGTTTAACTCTTAACTATTACCATGGACTTGTGAATCAGTCTACACGTTATAAATATCGTTATAGCAATTATACAAATTGTTAACGTCTTGCATTCATATATACGTATTTCTAAATCGTTTGTTAAAAACCGTCAATTTTCCGAGTTTATTAAACACTAATGCAAAATAATAACGTGTAATAGTATGGTAGAAAAAGAAGAAGAAGAAGAAAAGTTATTTAGGCAAACAAGAAATTAAACTGTAATTGTTGTAACAAATGAAGAGAAAAGAATAAAATAAAACAGTCGTTACTCACGTTATACGCAGCATGAATCAGAAACACCTATGTACGTTGTATCGTCGTTGTTTGAACACGCCACTAATTGCGTATTTACAAATTACGAACCGGATATTTCCGATACTACACGCGCGAACCACGTTTATCACGTAAGCGACACACCCGACCCGATCGATGGTCGAAGCGTATGTGAGCCGATTTCCCAGATTCCAACCCTCTGTTCTGCTGGAACGTGACCTGTTGATACGAAACTCCGCAAAAACTTTCGACTCAAGGACTGCGCATCGTATGAAATTATTATTGCCACCGAGTTTTGTGTTTACAACACGTCGCGCTTCTATCGAAAACGAAAATATGTTTACGATTTCGAACGAAGAATTTAAACAATAAAATTAAAAATGTTATATTATCTACCTATAGTACATAATAATTCTCTCTCTCTCTCTCTCTCTCTCTTCCATTCATTATACTGTTCTACAAAAATTGTTGATTTTGTGTGTCATATAAAAATGAAAAATCGCAATTACCAATAAATCTACGATTACGTTTATTCATACGTATTTATCCATTCCATTATTGCATTTTCTACTTTCAAATCCATAAATGTGCATAGTATAAACATCCACAGTTTACTTATCAATCGGTCGTCAGTTACTATAGATTACGCTCGATTTAAAAAATAAACAAACGATACAACGTACGTACGGACTACACCATAAAATGTGTAATTGATATTAACAGATCTCTCGTTCCTATTCTGTGGATTCGCGCAGCATAGGCACAAACCTAAGCCAGATAAAAAGCACGCGCACATCGATCCACGTTTGTGTTCTTTAGCCTCCACTTGTCTGCATAAAACACTCGTGCATGAAGGCTCACTACTACAGACTACCACTCGCCATACGCTATACAGCCCCCATAAACGTCCTAATACGTTGCAAGTTACAAGCAACCCTATAACGCAGCACGTTTACGCCAGCTTTCGCATCCAACTGCCGAATTTATCTTCACATCGGTGATACACGCGAGGGGGGGGCACACGTATTAAAAACCACCCTCCCCCACAGTGTGTTTCGACACAGGTAGAGGGATGTTGGAAACGGAGAACAGGGGATGCGCTTTAGACGGAATTGCAGGGAGCGCCTCCGCCATTAACTTTGATGCGCTTATAAAACGCAGTAGGTTCGAGCCGGTGCATGCATACACGCAGTACATGTGTACAGTGTATATGCATGCAACCAGGAATATAGAGTTTCCAAATTTAATAGCCCTGTGTGTCGAGCAGGACGCAGAAATGAGGAATGGGTACACACCAAGTATAGTGGGTGGCTCTCGACCATAAATACGCTAGCTGGTTGATTATATGGAACCCCCATGTCAAATCGACCCCTGGCCACCCCCGCGCGAGTTTCCATCTCCCCAATCCTACGCGCGGATATAGCCCCTTTTCGTTGCAACCGCCCAACGTTCAGCCTGGAGCGTGTGGCTACGTTTTATCCTCGTTTCCATCTCGTTCACGTCGCGACTCGATCCTCTTCACCGCCAAGCACACGTTTCGCTCTCTTTCGTCTCTGTTTCTCAAGTTTCGCCGGGTTTGCTCTCTCCCGTCTTTCCACTTTCCACGTGGCACGTTTGTTTGGCGAGGATAACGTCGACACGATCTGGTCACGGCAAATATCTCGGAGACCGGCTGAAGAGACGAACAGAGTTGCTTCGGTCCGCCCGATTAGATTCAATTTGGATTTCTGCTTAGTTGCTGCAGTTTTAGGGGATAATTATGTTTGCGTGTGACGCAACAGCGAGCAAAAGCGTGGCTTTCCCGAGGATTTTTAGAATCGTTTCCGCCTGACACGTGGAATCGCTTGGATGCGCTCGATTAAATTCCATTTGGATTTCTAATTGTTCAAGTTTGCGCAGATTTTATACAGTTAAGATTTAGAGGGAGGGTGATTTCTTTTGGCAGAATATTAGGATAGTTTTTGAGTGGCATTGATGCAGTATGACAGTATGACAGTATGACAGTGTGGCAAATATAACACTCAAGTTTATTTTATTTTCAAAATCTTCTAATGAAATTCCTTTATTAAAATTAAAATATCGGAGGCACATACTATACTAAACAATTTATTATATAATAAAATCTTCTTTGTTTATATTCAAAGTTAGAATAATATGACCGCAACTGACGTATTCATTAAGATCTTTTAAATACAATTGAAGATTGTTAAACGCTGCAGCTTCTAAAGTGAAATAAATAAAACTTCCGTCTCCTCTCAGAGACAATTGATGATGACTATCGTTAGACAAAATAATTGCACGGTATGAAATTAATTTTCGTAATAGGGTGATATAACAAATGAAATTTAGAAGACGTCAATAAAAAATAAGAAGAAAACGAACTCTTAATTCTTCCTTCCTTAGAAACTAAAGAAACTAACTTAAAAGAACATTACTTTACAAGAGCTCCGTGAATATACAATTTGAAAGGACTGAAATTAACACGATTAACCTCGAATAGGAACGACTATTATTTCCTGAAGCTCGAACACGCCGATTTGCGACAAGAGCCTCGGGTCAACTACTTCTATTGCAGTTAACTCGAGCAATGACGAGCCACGTTTCACGGCGTAGCCTGCAGCATTCATAATCGAGTCCCGACGCGGCCGGTTTTTGGAGCGCTCGCGTTTGTACGTTTGAGCGCGTTGTTAATCGACTATGTGCAATTATTTACAATATCCTGTAGATTCAATATTAATCAAAGGGCTAACGACTGTCATTTCGTATTCCCGTTAATCGTAAATTCACCGAACCCCCGCAACCCTACGTTATAATCCGCCGCAAATTTCACAATTTCGCGTAGTGAGCGGATCATCGTGCTGGTTCGCGACGATGTAACGCGTCAGTGAGTAAGTTTGCTGATATAGCGATACGATTAATTGCATTATATAGCGAATAATTCACGTTCGTTCCTCTACCATCGAATTTTCTTCCACCGCTTGGAAATTCAAGATGAATATTATTAACCTGTGAATGTTTACGTAAATTCATATTTTTAAATTTCTGTTTCTCATTGCGAAGAATTTTATGGAATGTTAGACAAACCTAAAAAACTAGTAGGCAATATTCTCGTTTGAAATTGTTGACTTATGGGACCGAAATGAAAATCGAAGGCGAGACGCGTCTAGCGTTGGTTTCCCAATGAATTTGTTTTATTCGGTAAAAATGGGAAAGTTAATGGCAGTTACGAGTACAGCATATGCGGAATGGAAACCTTTAAACACGCATTTCTCATGAAACTTTTAGCAACGTGTCCTATGCATTTAATACAACATGACGTGCACCACCTATGCGCAAAATTGCAGCCGAATGAATGTGCTGCTCTCCTCTCATAACTTTATTAAATTAACATTATCCTCACTATAATCATCTCCGTGGATTGTACCTACACATGTGTTCGCATGTATGAAATCACGTGTATGGTTCAATAATTTGTTAGATCCACAGTTTTTAGCGCTTATTCTTTATCGATTTTCGAAGATTTCAAAATTTTAGATACGATAGTAGTCTACGTGTATATTAAATAGAGACTTAAACGTGTGGTTGTAAATTATATATATATTTTTTTCATAAATTTATTTCTATTGCATGTTTTGAATATAAGCATTTTTTATGAATTATTATATGTTATTTAAATACGTAGTATGTTATATTAACCAGATATAATAACACAGGAGTAGATTGAGACTTGTAATGACTAGTAATATTGAACAGAAATACGAACTACGATCAATTTAGATCGCTCGAAAGGAGGCATCTTCAAGTAGATTCGATCTTATTAGCCAGACGAGACAATTTCAAATCCCCTATAGATTTTTCTCACAGATCTTTTCACCATCATCGAGAAAATTATTCTCAGGTAATTAGCTACTACTTATATATTTAAAATACAACGCGCCGAGAAATCATAGTAATCTATACTTACAAACAAACGAGGGTTTAAAATCATTAAATATAAATTCACAAACCATTTACCAAAACAACACCAATTCTACCAATGCAAAAAGTTCCAAATTCTTCGATTATTGTTAAGATTCACACCTAGCCTCCATCACCAGTCATTTACCCGCAAAAAAAGAAATAACCATTGTAGCACAAATTATGCACGATCTCTGAAAAGCACCGGTCGAGTATCCGCCCTTGAAGTTCTTTCATGTTCTTAATCAGCAGGAACAAAGATAAATAAGTCCTCGTCTGGAAAGAAGGGAAAAGTTTCGAGGCAAGTGGCCGCGCGCGCGGATGAAAACGGCTGTTCCGGTGTATAGACAGGACAGGAAGAGAACGAGAGAGAGCACACTGTTGCTTGGCGAGCTGGCAGCACGCTTTCGGGCCTCTATATAGCCACGACTCGTGTAATCGCGCACTTCACCCCATTTCTCGCTATAGAATGCAACACGCGACTCCTGCACCCGCTCACGTGCCTGTTCCATGCGCCACAAGTGGCTGCGAACACATCGTTCACCGGCCCTGCGCTCTCTCGCATTGTCTCTCTCGTTTGTGTTCGTTGTAACCACCAACTAGTCAACCCCTTTTCGCTGTGTTTCGTTCGTTCGGATAATTACGCTATCCACGCGTGATCGTCGTTCGGATGACTCTGGCGCATTTTGTGCAGGGCATAGAAATACTCGTTGATTTTGAGATCAAGCATTGTGTGTAGAGTTTGTTTGCGTAGTTAGACCTAGTTGGGTGTTTGACTTTTGATCTGTTCCGTGTTTTTGTTTTTATAATTACGCTATCAGCGTGTATCCGAAGTTTCGATAACCGTGGCGCATGTTGCCGAGCGCATAGAAATACTCGTTCGCTTTGAGATCAGACGTGCTGCACGCGAAGCTTCGCGTAGTTAGACCTAGTTGGCTGTTTGACTTTTCATCTGTCGTGTGTGTTTTTATAATTATGCTATCCGTGTGTGTCTAAAGTTTCGATAACCGTGACGCATTTTGTGGAGTGCACAGGAAAACGCGCTGCTTCTGAGATCAGGCGTTACAGAGGTTCGTGTGGCTGGGGTTAGGTTGCACCAATTGTGCAGCGATGTTTGAGTTCTAATTTGTTGTGTAATTGTTATTTTTAGCGAGTGTGGTATGCTGGTATATTGGAGTTTTTAAGAGAACTATTGGTCGATGTTGGCAGACGTTGACTGACGTTGAACAGAAAGCTGTACATTACGTGCAACCAGTACATCGTAACGTTTAAAATTGCCACGGGATTAAACTCAAAGAAATCGTCGATAGTAAGTGAAAAAATTCATTTCGGTGGAGAGAAGAATCAAGAAGAAAGTACGTAATAACTTCTAACGTAACATTTCGATGAATCCACCACTTTTCAAATTATTTGCGAATATATTTGATTTTCTAAAAATACTTTTTCATCTTACGAAAACTCACATAGCAGCGATAGTTTCAGAAACTTTCTGAGCTTACTGTACTTGTAGGTGTATTTACACAATACTGCCGAGTTTATTACCAGGTATAATTAATCTCGATCGTATAATTTCAGGCGAAAACAGGTAAGACAGATATAGAACTAAAATAGAAGAATATTGTAAATTGAATTTTCCGTAACGAACAGAATTTAACGACAGTGTGTTATTAAAGGTATCAGCATTTCTGATGAGACTACACGCGATTGAATTATCTTTCCTGGTGGTTAAAGTGGAAATTAGTTTATCGTGTGTCTGGTGGACGGAATGCTGAATGTAATGAGATGTTTCGTAATAACATGTTATTAAAGCAGTGAGTGTTGTTAATGAACATAGCAAAGTATGACTGAAGAGAAAATTTCAACAGTTTTATTGGGGAATCAGGAATATTTTTATTATAGTATGTACCTTTGACAAACATAGTGTGATTTATAAAAATTTATATAAAAAATTGTTTAATTTGTATTTCTTATTATTTCTTGGATTTTCACTTTGAGAACCTTTCAGCCGTCAATCGCACGCTCTTAGAAATTCTACGTGCTTTATCTTACATCACGAGGAAAAGGAGTTTTCCAGCCACTCTCTTGGATAGAATAATTCTAATGATTATGCTATTTAATAACAATGCCGTTGAGCACTTAATGTATTATTTTTGATCATTTTAAGTAAAAAAAAATTTCCTAGAAAGCGTAATTCAAAATTGACCTTCCATTGATATTTTTGGATTATGGATAATTAGTATAGTTTAAGTTAGAATATATTAGATCAATTTAAAAATATTTACACAAATTTGTTACTTGTTCTATATTTTACATGAAATTGGATATTAACAGATTGTATTAAAGTACGTGGTGGGCAATAACGTTGAAACTACATAAATTATTCTAAATCCTACTCGAATCGTACTGTGTTACCTATGGCTACCACTAACAACGTTGGGATTGAAAATTTAATTGCGAGAGATTAATTTATTTAGCATTTACAAATGCGAACAATCTGCTTTGTGTAATAAGTTAAACTGTAAGAAGAGAAGAATAGAAAGAAAAGAAAAAAAATTATGAAGCAAGTATACTGTAATAAAAAAAAAAGACTCGTAATTAAAATGAAGTTCTTCTTTGAAATCTTCAAAGAACGAGAAAATTCACAAAGGAATTAGTCGGAAGTACTTGATGTGCCTCATTAAGTAAAATCGATTTCTCTTGAAACATTCTACTCAAGGTAACAATTAGCAGTGCTTCACTTTATGCAGGTAATTATTAGTTGAGCTATTTATTTCGCGATAAATAACCTTGATTTAAGATCTGTGTTGCAATCGTTTCATCTACCATGTAATATATGGCCAAGCATTTGTTTTAACTGGGATCCAGCGAAATCTACTTTCTGATGATAAAGTTATACGGAGCTACAATTAGAAGAAACAATCTTCGTCACGTTAGGTGAACTTTCCTCTGATTATTGCGCGTCAGAATTTTGCAGTTTCTTTAAAGTGAATTTAAGGTTCGTGGATTTACGTTCTTGTTCTTATTACACTACGTGTGTTGCGTTATACGAAAAATAGAAGCTGTACGAAATAAAATTTTGAAATACGATTAAAAAATTCTTTTTACAAGACAAAAGAAGAGAAACGGAAAAAATATTCAAGTATCCTTCAATTCCTTTGTAAAAAGAATGTAATCTTCGTAAGAAGATTTTTTAAATGTATGATTACACTAAATTTGTTTGTGAATGTTTTCCGATATTACAGGAATGAAACCATTTTGTCAAATCCATCGAAAATGATTCGATTCCAGGGAAATAAGTAATATTGAATGTAGGAAATACAATGGTGACAATTTCCATTAAGCTTATATTGCATGATCAATCAATAATTTATTCATAACGTACTTCCACTAAATGCAACATTATATTGTCATCGTCACTCAATAATCCACATGACAAAGACGATTTGATTATCGGTCATTTATAAAATAGAATCCCAATCGAAAACACTATTGCTGCAAAAACAACGAACAAATGGTTCCACATACACAAAACCTTCCATAAATTTATACTGATAATTGCCGTTCTATTGACACTGCGTTATCAATTAATAACTAACTCATAAAATATTACACTTCCAACATCGTGAAATTTAATTCTACATCAATATTATCAGTTAATGGCGCACGTAACAGTAAAATCATTTACAGAATCAATTATTATTATAGAAAATGCAAATTTTAATCGAAGATATTATTGAAACCAACCTGACAGCCACGATTATAAATTTTAATTGAAGATTGTATCTCAAACACATAGAATATCGAATGATCTTGAAAACGAAAATCTAAGGGAGATAATTAACTGAATTCCTAGACACTTATACGTATAATAAACTACCATAAACATAGAAATCCAATTAAAAATACTATTATTGAAAACACAAGAAGCAAAAGGTTTTTACCAGAGAATCCTCGATAAATCCACTATCATTTGATTGAAATTTTCAAACACAACATCGCCATTCCAGCAATAATATGATTATTTATTTTCGCATACTAGATGAAAATGAAACCCGCTGATCGATGAATTTACGATAATTTTATATCTTTTTCTACCAAGTTACCTGTCTACTTTAATTTCATCAAACTTCCACGATAAAAGCCTGTATTTTTTTAAACTCAACTCAATAAATAATCCAATATATCGTCGCTGTCATTCAGAAAGCCACAATGACACAATCCAAAGATTTCTAGCGATTTGTTACTGTACATTTATAAAAATAAAACAATCAGCGAAGGAGACGATTACCAATATGTACAGTAATTGCACTTTGAACGTAATTTGTTATCTGTTAAGTTCGTTAGTATAATTAGTACGCATTTGACTGATGCCAGCCTGGAGCAGACACATAATCCTCTTGCCTAATCAGAGTTTCATGTATAGTAATCGCATAGTAAGTTGCTTCTGCGACGGCGAATCGTGAGAAAAGTGGAATTGCTAAACTTTCCATAGAGAAGGTCAACCACGACCAGCCTAATATGTCACGGTTATGAATTCTAAAGAAATACCTGCGAATTACACGCGAGTGTCTCTCCGTAAAAGATCAGCGAACTCGGAGACAACTGTTGACGTTGGTATTTAGAAAGTGCAAATATGTAATTCCAACAAGGATGGATAATTATTTTGATGAACGTTTGGACCATTGGCTGGATATAACAGGAAATAGTTTTTGCCTTTTACGATTCATACTCTTGGCTTGGTTTGTTCCAAATGCGTAATCTCCTTTTCCATTGGAGTAGTCTTTCAGAGTGATTTAAGAGATGATACTTAATGAGGAGATTCATAATGAAGAGAATCTTCATATCGAGAGATATGTAAATACTTTACGTATTTGTTAAATATTGATAAGAAGAAGATTTGTATGTTGAAAATTGTTTCTGATTATTCTTCTATGAACTTAATGACAACCTGTATTAATCTGTATGGCACATACTTAGTGTTTCATAATACATATCAGTATTTTTTCATTGCACTCTTATGACTGATATTAAAGATCGAAGATACGAATGATCTCCTTACATAGCCTTGTTCAATATTGTATATATTCCACGATAATTCGCTGATTAATATTATGCGTTGCTTGGAAGCCTAGTTCAATAAACTATCACAATTTCTAATAAGGATTAAATGCTTCTCGTTCTGAAGCTTCCAGATCTCGGAAAGATCATTTCATCTCGCCGATAAAAGAACAAGAGATTCTAAGCAAAGGAAGACAGAGAATACAATGTTCAAAGTCTTCCCATTTAAATCCACTATCGATCATCCAATATAAAATCACGTCTATTAATAGCAACAGCAGCTGGAAACTAACGAATTCGCGTTAACCGAAGATTTCAGGTTCTTCCAGAAACACTATTTATGGACGTTACAATGGAATCACGCTTCTTAAATAACAGAGAAGCGGTGTAAAAGAAGACTCGCATTAACCAATCAGTCATCAAACGTTGAGACGCTACGATTTCGGTAGATGGAACGTGCGGTTAGCAAGCAGGCGTAGCAAGAGAACTTCTGAAACTGCCTCGAGACATAACACGTGCAAAACGAGGCAGAAAATGATGTCTGGCCACAAGCTTCGTAATTCGAGGATACGAGCCGGTAAATAGCCGGTGAATTATGATAAGAGATAATCGTAGGAGGAGTTCGCTTCGAAAAGTTAATTGATACGAGTAGCTGGATCGTGACGAATGAAATTGCTCTGCGTCAGCTCTGTCCCAGTGGATGGTTGCTGTTAAGACCATCACGCGCCCTTAATCGTCATCTTAATCTTTGCAGCATCGGAGTATCTCAGCAAAGTGCTTTCTGAGATCCTTTCTGCTTGAATTATCACGAATTCCTATCGTGACATCCTATCGTACAATGAATTCTGGTTTGGTGACTTTACTCTAAATTAGAATGTAGAATGTACAGACTGTAGAATATTTTCTTAGGTTAGTGTATTACGAATGGAGTGCAATAAATGATAAAACATTGACGTTTTTTAAGGTAGATTACAATACGCAATAAATGTTGTATAGTGATTATAGTCACGCGTCAAGATGACGATACAATTTATCAATTGTTATGGAATACCAAAACTATACTAAAAGTTCTATTATTGGTATTTGATAGAAGATTTATAGCTTAGCTAACGATGCCTACGCTATAATTTCCAAATAATAAGACAAAAGGATTGTCAATAGTCGCTTAGCGATGCACAAAATATACCTCGGAAAGATGTCATCGATAATTTAACTTCGTGTACTTTTCATCTCGTTGTCAACTGTGAAAAAAGTACCCGTTAATGTATCAACTGATCTTAGTAAAAATTATAAAAATAAAATTCTGCCGAAGGAAGAAGCTCAACAACGGCAAAAACTCTCTAAAATATCTCTTCCATTCCACCGAGAATCATAAAATTTAAATAAAACCCGACAAAAGAGATCTCGACAAAAAAAAAAAAACACTGTTAAAAGTATTCTCTAAAATTTTCGCGTCTCGTTAAATTTTCATTTGACCAGAACAGAAAGAAGAATTAAAATAAAATTCCATTGGGAAAATTTCCATAAAAAAAGCTCAAGATTCGGTACATTCGAAAAACATTGAAAAGCAACCCGATAATCGCATCTCAAATGGGATATCGTACATGCAGCGGGTATTTTTAAGCTGGTCAGTGGAATATCTATTCGATATATATTCCCTTTGCGAAAAGAACCGGCACGATCAAATATAATATAAAATCACTCGAATAATTGATTCCGGCTTAATGCGTCGCATTAACGGAATTGTAAATTTTAGCTTTGTGAGAGAGACAGCCGCTCAACAACGGCCAAAGGGTTAAATCGTAATTAGCGGATGGCAAAACCGGACGGATATAACACGTAGAATCCTAACGACACGCAATCCCATAAAAGCACCCCTAACCACCCCTCCCTTTCTCTCTTTCTCGCTGCGTGCAACTCGCGCGATTTTCCCACTGTAAAAGAGTTTCCGTGGTTTTTACTCAAATTATTGCCGCGAGTGAAAGGTAGCTTTTTAATATCGGATATCAGCTGTCCACTGAACTCTTTGCGTTTACTTTTATCTCCCGCGAAATAACGTATGGTAATCGAACGATTGCTTGCTTGAGGATAGGCAGAGAAAACATGGAGAACAGATACAGTAGCTCAGGAAAGTATGGGACACTTGTAGAAATTTCTTATGAATACACAGGCTCGAGTATTCGAATGCTCGAGGATACTTTCCACGAATATATTATGTGCGTTGTATAGA